AATGGTTTGAACCAAACTCATTGGGGTGTGCATATTGGGGATCATTCGCATGTCCATAATTGCTTGAGGTGTAGAGGATCCTTTGTAAAGGTGAATTCACATGAAGCTACACACGACATCGAAAGAGGCCCTTGTCAGAGAGACATATTAAAGGAAGGGAGCATCTAACCATGGTATTGGTTTAGGTATAAGACTCGAATCTATGTATGTTGACTTTGAGGTAGTAGATTAAGTTTTTGTGAACCGAGAAGGTCCACTATGGTTTTTCCTAAAGAGGATTTTTCGCGTCAATAAAACACTTTTGTTCTTTACTTTTTATGCATATATACTTGTGATTGTTTGCACAGACGCACAATATTGTAACACCCCGCATTTTCTTTTATATATGTATATAGATATATAGTAAATAATTTTGGATAAAATGTGGATATGTGTATTNAACACCCCGCATTTTCTTTTATATATGTATATAGATATATAGTAAATAATTGTGGATAAAATGTGGATATGTGTATTGATGTGTGTTTGAATTTGGTAGATTGAAAAAATAGAGATTTCANATTTGGTAGATTGAAAAAGTAGAAATTTAAAATGTTAGTGGAAATAATAGTTGAAATTTGGTTTTAATAAGTGAAAATATGAACTTTTAGATCCTAGAACTTGTATTAAATAGTTTTGGTGTAGAAATATGTGTTGGAGAGGTTTGGGATGGATTTGGTTGGCTTAGAAATGGATTGAAAATGGAAAAGGGATGAAACAGGACGTGAACAGTGCACATGAACAGTGCACTGGCTGTAACTTCAAGCGCGAGTTTGACGTTGATGCAGTCAATATCTCTCAAAAATCAAAACATGGAAGTTTTAGAGCTCTTTCTTATCATTCCATAGCCTCTTTAATCATCTTANGTGCACATGAACAGTGCACTGGCTGTAACTTCAAGCGCGAGTTTGACGTTGATGCAATCAATATCTCTCAAAAATCAAAACATGGAAGCTTTAGAGCTCTTTCTTATCATTCCATAGCCTCTTTAATCATCTCAATTGGAGCTCGGATGAGAGATTTATTCCCAGATAACGAAGTGATGTCAAAACAGCCCAATTAGCTTGAACAGTGCACTGGCTGCAACTTCAAGCCCGATTTAGACCTTGATGAAGTCAATATCTCTCAAACCTCAAAGCATGAAAGTTTTAGATATCCTTCTTATCATTCCATAGCATCTTGAAGAATCTCAATCGGAACTAGNCAATTAGCTTGAACAGTGCACTGGCTGCAACTTTAAGCCCGATTTAGACCTTGATGAAGTCAATATCTCTCAAAACTCAAAGCATGAAAGTTTTAGATATCCTTCTTATCATTCCATAGAATCTTGAAGAATCTCAATCGGAACTAGGATGAGAGAGTTATGCCCAGATAACGAAGCGATGTCAAAATAGTCCAATTAGCTTCGTTTTACATTTAACGTCACCATTTGCATCCTAAATAAAAATATAAGAATAATGAGTACATTTAAGCTTCAAATAAGTATAAAAGGCTTTAAGAATCACCATTTATCACCTTTTGTTTGCAAACAACGCAAAACTTCATTAATAGCCAGTTCGGATGGGTAAAATAGAAACTTTAATGTTTCGGGTGTACGTTGACTTTGATTTTGAGATAAATCATAAAAATAAATATTTTTAGGTTAAAATAACCTTAAAAATGAATCTGGAACGTCGAAAAACCTTAGGGTAGTCATATGGATCAAATTGGAGATTCTTAGTGGTAAAACCGTAATTTTGGAGAAAACCAAAACAGGCTGTGAATAGTGAATTTCGGGGCTGAGGTGTTTTAAATCTCATTTGCCCTCATTTATTTCACTCCATTCTCACCCCACACCTCTTGGAACCCTAGAGAGCAGTAGAGAGGAAGAAAGGAAGGGAAAATCAAGAGATTTAAGGGTAGATTTAAGATCAAAGCTCAAGTTCTTCCTACAAACTAAGGATTCAAAGTAGGGGTTTTCTCTCATGCACTTGCATTGAGGTTAGGGTATTTATATATGTATGTTTTGACTATCAATGGTATATCTATATGCGATGGAATCATCCTCTCTTAGGCTTTTTGAAAGGATTACATGTTTTGAACAAAGTAGGGTTTAATACCCATGAAATCTCCTTTCTAGTTTTAAAACCCTAATTTTTGGAGAGTGATGTATTTTCTTCCTAAATGCTTTCTTTATTATGGATTT